TCTTAGTCCCTTCCACCCCCTCCACTCCCTCCCCACCCCGGCATCCAAGCCGTCCAAGCTTTTCTTATTTCTCGAGTGTTGCTGGTTTTGGCTGAATGCGGGGGAGTAGAGCTCTGTTTTCTGGTAAATGATGTCATACTAGTTTACTCATTCTAGATAGATCATGTATTCATCAAACTTCAACCCTAACCTGGAGATCACTACTCAGGGAGTATGGGTGGAGTAGGACGGGTTCAATCCACGGATATGCATGGTTGAGTCTGAGAGAGCGAAGGAGTAGGAGAGGTTCCAGATGTTCTCTGGGTCCCTGTTCAACAGGTCTCTGCTCCTTCCCGCCCACATCTCATATATGGGCATCTCTCTTACTTCTCCGTTCCAGAACGAAACTATAGTATCGTTCCGTTCCGTTCCAGACCGTCTCACAGATCTGCAGGCAGTGAGATGCGGAGCCGGTCTAATGTTAGCTATTGGGCAGGTGTGTGTATGTATGAAGTGGGCACACTGCTCACTGCTCAGTCAACCTTCCGACCTTGGGTGAGAGACAGTGAGAGACGATGTGAATAAAATCATCTAGATATCATTATAGATTTTCCAGTGACAACTAATCCAAGATATTTAATCTGAAACTGTGATGGAACCCTAGGTTTGAGTTTATATACCGGATATATACACTTGAAAGGTTAAATCTTGACCCTGAAGAAAGCAAGTTTGGCAAAACTCCATTATTAAGAGTAGGCCTACAATATGTATACCTAGATATACAACTTTATTTAAATATGCCTTACAAATATTGTTTATAATGAAATATAATTAAAAGTATAGATTGAAATCTACATCATTTAAACATACCTTTATAAATATACAATAAAGATTTAAATCCACATCATTTAAACATACCTTTATAAATATACAATAAAGATTGAAATTAACATCTTTTAAACATATATTTATAAATATAAAATACAGATTGAAATCTACATCATTTAAACATACCTTTATAAATATACAATAAAGATTTAAATCCACATCATTTAAACATACCTTTATAAATATACAATAAAGATTGAAATTCAC